TTGTGCATGTTTACGGTCGACCGCCGCTCCATGTGCGGTCGACCGTGACTCAACCTGACTGTTTTCTTCGTTTTCTTCGTTCGTTCGGCTTCAGCTTTGGGTCTATACCTTAGACTAACAATCTCCCACTTGGAGACCAAAGCTCCATCAGCGAGTTCACCCGAACTCTCCCCTTCTTCATGAGCTTCTTCTCCTCCCCGAAAAATCCTTTCTTCAATCATCATCATCCCGGTGAGCTCGCCGATCCTCGTATTGTGGCTCCACCTTCATCTTCTACTCGTGAAGGCCAACTGAAGTTGCACACAACTCCAGTTTCTCAATGGTGACTGCTTTCGTCAACATATCCGTTGGATTTTGACTCCCCAAAATCTTCATTAAATGTAACTTTCCATCTTCAACTAACGAGCGTATAAAATGGTATTTTACGTCGATGTGCTTCGTTCTGGCATGATATACTAGATTCTTGGCAAGATGTATAGCGCCCTGGCTACCACAATAAAGAATTCCTCTCCCTTGCTTTAGATCCAACTCTTCCAAGCACCTGTTCAACCAGATCATCTCCTTGCTTGCTTCAGTCACCGCGACATACTCGGCCTCGGTTGTAGACAAAGTTACAATCTTCTGGAGACATGAGACCCAGCTCACTGCTGTCGATGCTAAGGTATAAACATACCCCGTGGTGCTCCGCCTCGTATCATGATCACCGGCGAAGTCCGCATCCACATATCCCTACAGTACCAATTCCTTTCTCCTGAAACACAGTGGTTTATTCGTCATTCCTCTCAAGTACCGTAATATTCACTTCACGGTCTCCCAATGATGCTTCCCTGGATTGCTAGCAAACCTACTCACAATAGGGAGATGAAACCTATTTGCTGCAGAACGACTGAGTAAGAGTATTATAATAGTGTCGTTAATTCATGTATCCGGAATAGGGAGATAAAACCTATTTGTCGCAGAACGATTGAGTAAGAGTATTACAATAGCATCGTTATTCCATGTATCTAGAATAGGGAGATAAATATATTACCGCAGAGCGATTGAGTAAGAATAGTATAAGAGTATCGCTATTACACAAGGAGGTACACACATATATGCATTATAAGTTATAGTTTTTGCTTGATACGGGTGTATCTTCTCTTCGGGAGCTTAGCGATCCTCATGAGAGCTTGAGGATAGATGATTCTCATGGTATCTTGAGAATAGTGTAGAGGAGTCGTGGACAAAGTCGTTGGAGACGGCGAAGTCGAAGAGTTCAGAAAAAGACAGGAAAATGGATTTTATTGTTGTTCGGTTGACCGCGCATGGCTCTGCGGTCGACCGCGAACGTGCACAAGGTCAAGATTTGTCTCTGGACTTTTCGCGCTCGACCGCGATGGGTTCTGCGATCGACCGCCAAAACCATGTAGTGCATATTCAGCCTCGGGTCTCCTGTTCGGTCGACCGCGATGGTCTCTGCGGTCGACCGCGATGCGGTTTTTGGGCCTGTGCTTGTTTTCCTAGATTGTTTAGGATTTCTATTTGATATAAATAGAAACACGACTTTTCTATGGTTTATTACTCATATTGTAATCAGAGATTATTTTCTAATCAGATCTCAGAGAGAGGGATTAGGGTTTAGAGAGAATTGAGAGTTTGTTCTCGATTCTAGTGAGATTGTGAGAGAGGAATTGTAATCTTTTCATACTCATAATCTAGAGAAGATATTTTCCTTCGCCATATACTGAATTATACTTGTGTTTCTGTCATCCTCTTCTCAACCCACCTTTGATAATTCCGCGATCAAAGGTGCTCGCACGGCGACTCGTATCAAGTTAGTATCAGAGCAATCAGATCCTGTGAAGGGGAACCTGTGTATGGTCCTTACTCGATCGCAATACAAGAAACTTGGCGAGATCCTTATTTCATTGGAAGGAGTCCAGAAATTAAGGAAGAAGAAGATGGCTGAAGGAGACAATTTAGCGAGGATTGATGTATTAGAGAAGCAGATCGAGATGATAGGTTCGACTCTTACACAACTCGTCAGTCTTATCCATGGAGGTGACAAACAAGGTGAATCTTCTTCGAAAAAAATTGTTGAGTCCGATGTGAAGAGAGTAGATTCAGATTCTTACGAGGAGGAGGAGACCGTTAAGGCTGCATTGTATCAAGGGGGTAAGAATTCTTACCAGAACCTGAAGATTAACTTCAAGGTGGAGATTTCTGTTTATGATGGGAGTGTTAACATCGAGAGGCTTGATGTCTGGACCGAGCGGATGGAGACGTATTTTACTCTTTATGACTACTCGTCAAAAGAGAAGATTGTGTTCGCGACTTTGAAGCTTTCAGGGCATGCGTTGACATGGTGGAAATCCTACTGCAAGCAGGAGAAGAAGGCGGTGTCATGAAACAAGTTCAAGGAGTTCCTGAGGAAGCAATTCTACCCGGTAGGATTCCTTGAGGAGCGTTGGTACAAGTGGTACAGCTTGCGCCAAAGAGTCAATCAAACCTTTCAAGAATATACCACGGAGTTCCAACATCAAGCAATGGTTCTTAACATTGCGACGAAGGAATATTCTGTGTTTATAAAGTATATGGCGGGTTTGAGTGATTACATCTGGAAGGAGATGAAGTTA